CTGCACATCACCAGAAGTATATTGGACTAAGTAATACAGCCTTGAACTACTAGATGGCGTCTTCGCTTCAATGAGGGTTTCAAACGATCTTATAAAATGGCAGTAGTCAACAGGATCACCACCAAACATTGGGACTTGAGCGTTGGGTAATGTCATCGATAGAGCCGATTGCTGATGTTGATTCAGGAGATGTTGTAAATGAAAGTCCCTTGATTGTTGCATTTGAAACATGTTCATCTGTGGATATTCATCAGTTGGAAGTTGTGGCAGTTGAAGTGGACGCGTTGGTGAGTGGTGAAAATTTTCTCCCAAGTCGGCCATAGCATAAACTCTCTCTTCCGCTTCGGCCTTTGCAATTTCTGTTTGTAATTGTAGCTGATGCTTTCTCTGTTTAAGACGCAGTCTCTCTTCTTCTTGACGCTGTTGTTGAGCCAACTCTTGATGTTTCAGTCGAAGTTCCTCTTCTTCCAGGGCTCGATGCTCGTCTAAAGCGGCTGCCTCAGCTTTTAACGCTGCCTTCTTTGCTGTAGCATTTGCCATACTGCTACGAGTTGATGCTTCGGTTTTCCGCGAACTTACAACCGAGTTTCTTGTTTTGCTTCGATTTTTGTATGCGATGTTGCTCGCTGAGTCGCCGGACTTTACATCGTATTCTAATGTTCGATGTTCGGTTGAAAGACTTGTAATCCATTCTTCTAAAGTTCGCTGAAAGTTCTCGATTCTCCTAATTTCTATTTGCAGATACTCGTGGGAGTCCTCGAGATCATATTCGTCTTTGATTGTATCATGATAACGTTCGTGGGCGACGTAAAATTTATTCACAACATCATTAAATTCGTGTCTTTTGTTTCGGGCTTCGCTTACATCTTGTAAGTTCAATTTTAATTCAGTTAGCTCTTTAATCTTCTTAGTATTGCAGCAGATCTATTTCTTCGCAGTTGTTCAGACCTTTCGACTGCTTAATCTAAACTAAAGTCACGTTTTGGCGTTCCGCTCGATCGCTTGTCTCGTCTGTAATTTCTTTGTCAAATTCCGCCATATCGAAGCTTCAAATTTTAGAGAAAACATCCTTGAAACATTGAGTAAACATCCTTGAAACATTGAGTAAAGTATAGTTGACTTTCGGTGTATCGATGAAGATATCTTCGAACTTATGTAGGAACAAATCGTCTGCTTCTTGTTCTACAGCTTCTGCTTTTAGGTCAACTTCGAACTCGTACGGTAAAATCAATAATCATTTAATACGGTTCGACTAAACAAAACAAATACATACAAAACTAAGACACTACACGATGAACTAATCGCATAATATGAAATAAAACTTACAGATATTCCCTCTGTTAGAGTAAAGTAAATTCTGTCAATAAGTTCAGACAAGAAACAAAATCTCGAAACAAAATGAAATCGTAAAAATTTGAGCTTCAAAGGCGAAATCTTTCGTGCCAACAGGCCTAATAAGTTAGGTAAGTGTCTAAACAATATGTCTATATGTTTTGTTTGCTTGTAACACAAAATGCCATCAAAGGCTTTTTGAAGGGAATTTTGTCAAGTTGGCCGGCCGTCTACACGGGCCCCCTGTCCCTCTCGACTCTTCCGTGGCTATTTTTAATCGCAATCAACGAGAGAATTGCCAGCGAATTACTTGCAAGAAATCGCCGCATAAGTTGCATAACTGATAAAAACGCAATGTGAACGATGTTCAGCTAACTGTTTTTGCTGAGAAAATGATCGAAAAATCGTTTATTTCACATTTCGGTACGTTTAACGATCGATCACGACGATCAGCGGATAGTGTGCAAGTAGGCGTATTTCATTTAGGGACGGACCATTTGATTTTTCATTGTGGGGGGGGGGGAGGGGTCGAATGGAAGAAAAAAAATCAAACATCACTAACACCAGCAAAAAAAAAATATCGAGCACAAAAAAATTCTAAATTAGCAATACTCTATATTGAAAGAAAAATTCAGTTTCCCTGAGTTTTTTTTCTGTTGAGTGTTTCGGTTCTGCCTTGGTTAACAATACTAGAAGTATACATGCAAAATACAAACCGATACAAACCAGTTCTGACAGCTTTGACTTCAATAATTAAATTATCCACAAATTACCTTAATGGTATCCCTAAAAACCCCAATTTTAACACTGAAAGTCCCACACTTCTGTAAATACGACATCGATTAATGAGGGTGGGAAAGGGGGGGGGGGGTATGATTCACGTTTCACAACAAAAAAAACGTTTCACAATTCACGTTCCATAAAAAAGCAATTTCACATTTCACGGATAACGAGACTCTAATAAAAATAATATAATAATAATAGCTTTAAGATTATGTTTAATGCATGGTACAGTACTACGCTTTAAGTTCTCTTCTCTGCCTGGCAGTTAAAAACTACTTACAAGTTTGAGTGATGAGTACGTCCGACGACCTCGAAAGGCCTCCGAAGTTTCTACTCTTGTGCAATCGGGTGAGATCGATCATATAAATTATTATCGCGTATTATGTCCATTATGACTATTATAAAATAGATCGGAATAAACAAATCAAAATCACACTTCACGAAACAGACATCCTTAATTCCCATTTCACGGAGCATTTTTATCGACAATCACGCCTCACGGCTGTAGAACAAATCACATATCATGACAGTAAAATCAAGCATTTCACACGATCAAATATTGACCATTCACGCAGCGGCGTAGACAAGGGCAGGCTCAGCCCCCCCCCCCTCCCCAATAGGCTGAAGGACTGCCCTTGTAAAAAGATGAAATCCGGGTAGAAATTAGGGGGGGGGGACGATGACTACCCATGTGACTACCAATCTCATCTGTTCACCAAATTGTCTATAAAAGTTCTAATCTTTCCTAAATCTAACTACAGAAAATAATGCCTATGGTGGTTATTGGTTAAAATGCGTTTTAAAACTTCGATTTAACTATTTACACGTGAGCAAGTAAGCTTCGTTGTGTCAAATTAAGGATCCACATTATTGAGAAATCATTATAAATCAGGTCTTTCCAGCAGTAAATAATCTTCAGAATTATGCAAAATCTCTCCCCAGAAACACGGGAAATCGCCATTGAGGAACTCCAGATTTCAAAATTTTCCCGGGGGAGAATTCCCCCCGACCCCCCTAAAAAGACTTACGCCTTCGGCGTTCGATATATGCCCCCCCCAAAAAAAAATTATAGTCTGGCTACGCCACTGCATTCACGGCTCACAAAAATACCCTTTCCCAGGGGCGTAGGAACCTTCCAAAAGTTGGGGGGGGGCAGGCTTTGAGGGGCACTTTTCGAAAAAAAGGGACATCTCCAAATTTTTTGTTGGCGATCCCCCCCCCGTCGCCAAAAAAATTTCGGTCAGTATACCATTTTAGGGGTCCAAAAAAAATTTTCCGGACATATCCAAAAAAAATTTGTCCGGAATACAAACAAAATTTTCCGGATATATGATTTTTTTCCAGAATTTTTAACATTTTTCAGGAAATAACATACATTGAAGTTTTCAAAAGTGCACCTTGCGCTAAAAATACAATTTTAATGAAAAATTTTCACGTACAAAAAGGGCACTTTGCTTCCGGAAAAAGGGCACTTGCCCTTTTGGGGGGGGGGGGCATGCCCCCCCTGGCCCCCCCCGGTTCCTACGCCCCTGCCCTTTCCCACCCTCATTAATATCGCTCTCTGATTCTGAATAAAAATCGCAGTTTATAATACGTATTGGGAACACTGATACGATTGGGAACCGTGAGAATTTGTATATAGATGCCATTACGCCAATGCAAAATGGGTTACACACTTTAATACACTTGATTCAATTTTGATTGGGGCTATGATCTACATTTCGTAGACCATAGCCCCGTATAAAATGGGCCAAGTATAAAATTGGCCAAGTATAAAATGGGCTGTGATAGTTATATCATAGAATAGGAAGGTATACCAGAAGTCTCACTCAAGCAAGTATTTGTCCGCGTTTTTACAAGCGATTCGTCATAAATCACGCCATCTTGGCTAGTACAACCGGCACTTTGTACCTACCAAAACCTGATAAAAACTTCCGGCTGTACTAGCCAGGATGGCGTGAGCGAGTTAAAATTTCCGTGGGTTACACTTCTGCTATACTTTCCTATTTTGTCATTTTTGTGGTTATATGCTGTATATTGTAATACATTCTTCAGCCGGAATATAACCATGCGTGGTTATTATTGTATTAACGCTATAGTAAAAATTTTAAAAAATATCGTGCACGCGGCAAGATTCGATAAAAAATGATCGTGCGGAGTCGGTGAGGTCCAAAACAAAAATCGAGCTGGTCCGTCCCTTAGGACAAACATAAAGCAATGATAAACGATACGAACATATTACCGAGATTTCCGGGCCCCTCTGAGCAGTCCGGGCCCCGGGTATTCACC